CGCAGGTCCCCAGGGCTTCCCCGGGACACCGGGAGAGCCGGGGATGAAGGGTGAGAAGGTGAGTGGCGGTGCAGACAGCCAAGCTGCAGTGATGGTCACCACCTCAAGCGTCTCAGTGATGGTCACCAACTTCCCTCTCTCTCCTCTGTGCCAGGGTGATCCTGGAGTTGGCCCCAGGGGCCCACCTGGACCACCGGGCCCCCCTGGACCGCCTGGACCTTCCTTCAGACATGACAAGCTGGTAGGTGGGGGTCTGTGACAGGGCACGGTGACATGGGGCAGCGTCCCTGTGCTGCCTAGATCCCCTCTCCAATGTTGCACCTTTGGCCTTCACTTCCAGACCTTCATCGACATGGAGGGCTCCGGCTTTGGTGGCGATCCAGACACCCTGCGGGTGAGTCCCTGGGCGCTGGACCCCCTTTCCTGTCCTGCTGAGGAGGAGTTGGTGGGGTCACCCTCAGCCATCGGCACCTTCTTGTGTTGCAGGGTCCCCGTGGGCCACCTGGGCCCCCAGGGCCTCCCGGCGTGCCCGGCTTGCCAGGGGAGCCGGGACGATTCGGCATGAACCGCACGGACCTGCCGGGACCACCAGGGCTGCCGGGCCGAGACGGGAGCCCTGGGCCACCAGGGCCAGCGGTAGGTGCACAGGGGAGCCGTCCCCGCAGCTGGGGGGCTGGGATAATCCACTGGAGTGACCCGAGGGGCTCCGTGCCGTGGGGCTAGGAGGACCCAGCGCTGTAGCCTCTCACTGTGCTGATGGCGGCTCCTCTTCCAGGGTCCTCCAGGTCCTCCTGGGACAGACGGGATGGTTGGGCAGCCGGGGCCCAAAGGAGAGCGGGTGAGTGTCCCCATCGCCCGGCCACCCGCCCCACTGCACTGCCCCGTGGGGCAGCTGGCACCTACTACTCTGTGCCTTTGCGCATGGACTGCAGCTGGAGCTGGAGCAAGGCAGCCTCTTCATACTCTCCTTTCCCTTCTCCTTCTCCCCAGGGTGATGTGGGAGACCTGGGCCTCCCTGGAGCACCTGGACCCAAGGTACCGTACACAAGTCTCGCGTGGGGAATCCCAGCTGCAGCACAGCTGTTTCCATTACAGGCAGGGATGGTGCTCTGGGAAGCATCGGGTGGGAGATGGGTCGGCTCGCGCTGACGTTCCCCTTGGAGCAGAGCAGGGCCGCGGCCTCCCCTCGCACTGGGAAGGGCTCTGCTCTCACAAGCCCCTCTGCCGTGGGGCCGTGGCACTCTGTACCCTCTGCGTGTGCTCCTGTATCTCCTCACAGCTCCTCCCGCAGAGTTTCCTTCAGCTTCACCCTGTTGGGAAGTGACTGGGGAAGCTGAGCGCTACAATATCATCCCCAAAGGCGACTCCCTGTGGGGCCTGGGGATGCAGGAGGAGGGAAGAGGGACCTAGCAGAGCAGGGCTTTCAAGTATCTGCTTAGGTTGCACTAGTGATAGGAATCTAGGACTAGTGGTTGAACACTGGAAAGTTTTGTGAATACAGCAAGTACTTTGCCTCCTTCAAGCAGCCATGGACCAATCTCAGCCACTTTTGCCCGTTCTTTTGCTTTTTAAAGGGTGCCAAATGCAGAGGAGCTGGTATATGTTTCTGCTGAGACATGCAAGGGCTGGGGAGCTCTTTGGGCTGGGAGGATGGCACATGGGGGAATTGCCTGCAGAGGGAGCATTGTAACGGGAATGGTTGTGGTGTTGGGTGTGAAAACACGCAGGCGGCCACGGGTGACCTGGCGGGCGCCTGCAGCCTCCTCGGAAATGGCCTGTCATCTTCTGCGGGTCACTCTTCTCTCTGTCTCCACTCCCTCTTCTCCCGTCTAACCAGAGCAAACTGCCTCCTCTCCCTTCCCGCCTGTCCGGGCTTCTCTCTTTCCGCTCCACATCCCGGCCCCTGGGCGAGGCGTGGGTCAAGGTAAAGGCCCGTGCATGCTCGGCCTGCCCTCCCTGCGGAGGGTGACCGCGGCCCTTGTGCCACCCAAGGGCCCTGCGTCTTGCAGACTGGCATGGCTGTGCCCTCCTGGCCCCCGTGTCGCTGGCCCAGCGAGGACACGGGGACCCACTGCACTGGTTCAAACAATGTCCAGACCGAGGGGTGCATGCGAGCCCTCCCCTCGGGCACCTCTCTGCCGCCGGGTGGGCAGAGCCCTCTCTCCAGCTCCCTACGTCGAGCCGAAGTGCTTGCTGTGCCGCCCTTGTCACGCTGGTTGCTGGCTTGCCCTAACAGCATGTGCCTGTTCCCAATGTGTCCTTGCCGCCCGCACGGAGCTGGGTGCCAACATGCCACTCGCCCCGGAGCTGTCGGGGAGCAGGCGAGATAGCACCGAGCTGCTCTGCATCCTGCTGCCTCCCTGCGCGGAACAGGCGGTTGTGGCGGGCAGGGTGTCCAGCCTGGGCTCCTGCTGCCTCCCAGCCCTTTTTGCAGGCATGTCCCGCTACCTGCTTGCACGGGAACCACATGAAACGGCGTTTTTGAATTTAGACTAACCTCTGGTGGCCGTCTTGCACATTGCAAAGGAACCAGTTGGCAGAGACCCAGGGACCAAACAAGGACAACCAGGCCATGTGGGACTGGGGCAATGCCCCAGCTGTCAGGGCACTGCCTGAAGTGCCAGCACGTGGCAAGCTGGAGCTGGGCCCTGCCCCTTCCCACAAAGCCCTTTTGCCGGGGAAAAGTGCCATACAGGGGAACATCCATCCCTTACCCTCAGGGGTGGTTTGGGTCTACAGGCCCCTTTGCTTCTCTTCCTGGCCTGCATGTAGCTTGGGTGTTTGATATGTGTTGAAAAGGATCTCTGCTTTTCCCCCTGGCTAGGCATGCTGCCAGCGTGGGGATGCTCCACAGGTGCCAAGCACGGGCTGTGGCACCTTGTCTCACGCGTTTCCTTTTGTTCTTTCCTCCTTGCAGGGCAGCAAAGGAGAAACAGGGCCAGCAGGAGCACCAGGAGAAATGGGGCTAGCTGGTCTTCCTGGACCCATCGGACCTCGAGGGCAGCCAGGTCCCCCAGGCCCTCCTGGACCACCAGGGCCTGGGTACGAAGCTGGATTTGTAAGTGCCTCTCATCTGCGGCAGGCTCAGAGGGGATGGCCATGGCGTGGGGTGGGAAGAGTGGGTGCAAACGCAACTAAGTCTGTTCTTCTGCCCTAGGGTGACATGGAGGGCTCAGGGCTGCCATTTGCAGCTGGTACCCCTGGACCACGCGGGCCTGAAGGACCACAGGTAGCTCTTCTCGCCCCTTCTCTCCCTCTTGCCCTAGAAGAGCCAGTGCAGAGGTTAGAGAGGTTACCCAAAGCCGTGGGAATCCTATCAGGCACCATGCCTGGGAGGGGCGGAAAAGCCAATGGCTGTGCTCCTGTCTCCATGGAATCATAGAATGCTTGAGGTTGGAAGGGGCCTCTAGAGGTCATCTAGTGCAACCCCCCTGCACACGCAGGGTCACCTAGAGCTCGTGGCACAGGGTGGCATCCAAGCGGTTTTGGAAGATCTCCAGAGAAGGAGACTCCACAACCTCTCTTGGAAACCTGTTCCAGTGCTCTGTCACCCTCACTGCTAAGAAATTTTTCCTTTTCACATGCACAGGCATGTGAGGGACCTTTCTGTGCCTCTTCCAGTCCCTGATGCCTGGTGCCTGTAACTCCTCTGCCCTGGCTTAAGCAAGAGGGAGATGTCCCCATGCCTCCATGGGCACAGAGAGCTCCTCTCTGCCCTGGTGGCATCTCCGGGTGCTTCAGGGTGCTGGCTGCAGTAGGAACTCTAATGATCCTGATGGGATTGAGATGTGCCGAAGGATGTGGGGGATGTGCCCAACCCTAGATCCCTCGGGCAGTTACTGTATGCTCATGGCCATGTTCTCATTCATAGGGGCTGCCAGGATTGCCGGGAACCAAGGTGAGGAGCGATTCAAATGTCTTCCCAGCACCGTGCTGTGGCGGAGCCAGCCTTCAAAGTTGTTTTTTTTTTTTTTTTTTTTCTAATGTGTTCCCAGGGCTGTTTCCTCTCCAGCTGCTCTCCTGAGACATCTTTCCCTTGGCTGTGAGGGCAGGGTGGGCCCACAGGGAGCCTGGGATGGCAATGCTGGGGGGCTGTGTGCTGTGTAGGCTTTTGCAGTCCATGCCCCTGCCATCTAACACTGCTTTCCCCTGCAGGGAGATGCTGGCAGCCCTGGGCAGCCTGGCTTGCCAGGACTGAAGGTAGGATCAGTTCCTCCAGTACCACTGGGATGTTGCATGTAGCCCTCGGATTTGCCTGGGACTGAATGAGACCTCTGGTCTCATGGACCCTGGGGTTCCTGGGATGACTTCTTCCTCTACACCTCAGTCTGCCCCTCTTCGTTTTACAGGGAGACCCTGGCCTGCCTGGTGTGGATGGCCGCCCCGGCCTGGAGGGCTTCCCCGGTCCACAGGTAGGAGCATCTTCCTCATCCCAACACATGTTCTCAGCATCCTCGCCTCCTGAAAGCCCCACTCTTGGCTCCCAGGCCAGGCCTCCTTGCACACTGTGGGGTGACTTCCACTGCTCTCAGCAGTTGAAGTGCCCCTGTACGTTCAGCTCTCCTCCTGCTCTGAAGCTTGGCCCTGACCCCATCAGCGTATTGCCTTGTTCACAGCCAGCTCCTTGTGCCTTCAGCAGTGCCTGTGTGCTGGAGACTCTGCCCAGCCCCTCCAGGGCCATCCAAATGCGTCCCCTTAGCGATCTGGAGATGTCCCTTTGGTTCACGCTGGTTCATCCTGCTGCAGCCTGAACCTATCAGGCAGGCAGTGATCTGAAAGGCTTTTACTAAGCTTAGGCAGAAGCAGTCTCTATTGCTGCCAGCCTTTGCCTGGCAGGCCTTTGCCAACCTGCCAGCCATGATAGCTCCAACTACTTATGGAAACTCCCCTACCTTTGCTTCCTCTTCCAGGGACCCAAAGGTGACAGAGGCAGCCCCGGTGAGAAGGTAAGTGCTGGCTTGGTCCCTGCAGGGGATGCTCCTCCTCCGGTGGATGTGGGATGTGGATGGAGCTGGCTCTGGGCTCGCTGTTGGTGGGCAACACGGGAGCTGAATACCTGCATCTTCCAGGGCGAGCGAGGCCAAGATGGTGTTGGGTTGCCTGGCCCTCCCGGCTTACCTGGCCCACCAGGACAGGTCGTCTACATCTCAAACGAAGACGTAAGTGATGGCTCCCCTCCTCCATGCTCCCATGGCCTGGCTAGGAAACATCATGTTTGCTCCTGAACTGAGGAGAGATGAGTCCCCCAAATAACAGTTTAGTCAAAGCCAAATCATGTTGGGTGGGACTTGACATGTGACAGGAGCTAAAATTGTGTCAGTGAGCGGCAAGACAGCATTCTCCATGAGTAAAGATCAGCAAAAGCCTGAGGGGGATCTCTCTAGTAGCTCTGCCTATGCTCCAGGCTGAGGGACACAGCAAAGGTTGGTTTAACGCCCTATTTTGTCTGTTTTTCCAGAAGTCTTTGGCAGCTTTGCCAGGCCCGGAGGTAGGTGCCTCACCCCTGCCTGTGTGCGCCTTTGGCCATGCCTGGGATGCATCCCATTTCTTGAAAAGACCTGGTGTGTTCTCATGAGTGTCTTTGCCTTCCTGCAGGGCAGACCGGGCCATGCCGGCTTCCCGGTAGGTCACTGGCTTGGGCTTTGTGGGGCCGCAAGGGCGCTGTGCAGCGAGGGGTGGAGCACGAGGGAGCTCTGGGTGCCAGGCAGGGGCTAGGAGGGTTCCAGGAAGCAGAGAAAATAAAAGTATCCAAGGAGCTGTTTTAAAAGGCATCCAACCAAATTGTCCATTGGGGAACAGAGCAGATGAACACTTGCCAGAAATAAACTAACAGCATATAAAGCTTAATACTAAAGTTCACATGAGCTTGAAGATGTTATGAGACGCTGATGATTGGCAGGAGCCTATCTAGCCTTCCTTGCTGGGAAGAGAGGTCCAAACATTTTTTTATTTAAAGCGTCTGGTTACCGTCCCACGTTTTGTGACCTGCCATCAGTTAAAATTCTGCTATAGAGGGTCTGCTGAAGCTTTTTAGCCTTGTTGTGCCCATCGGATGCCCTCTGTTTTCCTGCATGCTCCTCCAAGAGGGCCCCAGCCTTGGCCCTCCTACAGCACTGACGCCTTTTGGTGCTTGACTTTTGGGCTGAGACCGCTCTGGGAGCCGTGCAGCCGAGCCCCGGCCTCCCACAGTGGTGGGGAGGATGAGTCTGGCAGCAGAGATGGAGCGGGGAAAGGCAACCAGTGTGGGCTGGGGTCTGCTTTTGCTGATGGGGCTGACACGGGACTCTGCTTCTCCATGCAGGGCCCCACGGGACCGAAAGGAGAGCCGGGGTCGCCTGGTTTCCAGGGCTCCCCAGGGCTGAAGGTAACTGGCCACTTCAGCTCCGTGGGGTGGCTGTGGTCCCATTCCTCCTCCCTTCTGACTCCAGGGTTGGCAGCGATGCCAATCCTACAGCACCGAGGAAGAGAACATTGTCCATCCAATTCCTACTTTCTTCCAGGGTGAGAAGGGAGAGCCTGGTGTCATCATTAGCCCAGACGGGACCATCATAGCTGCTAATGTGAAAGGAGAAAAGGTGAGTGCACATGATGCGCCATTCCCAGGGCTTCTTGGCCCAAATGTCCCACCAAGAGAGGGACTCCCAGTCATTACCATTTGCAAAGAGGGCTGCTTCCTTTTCCAGGTCGTAATGATAATTTCCTGTTCTCTGTCTGCAGGGGGAGCCAGGGCCACGGGGACCAGTGGGCCCATCTGTAAGTCAGCGACTCTGTTGCCCTTGTGGTTCCACTGGGGAGGAAAAAGGCTTTTAGATGGGGATGGGAGGGGACAGAGTTGGGGAGAAGCCAAGGAGTGATGGATGCTTCTTGTGTCCCCTTCTTCCTTTTCCAGGGCCCCCACGGACGGTCTGGACAGAAGGGAGAAATTGGCTTTCCGGGCAGACCTGTAAGAACCGCTCCTGGTTTGTTGTCCATCCTTGACAGGCCTATCTGCCACGAGCCCCATCTCCTCCTTCATCCTGGCCAGAGCTGCCCTCCTGTTTGCCCATCTCTCACCTGCCTAACCCCCAAACCTTGTCTCTTTTACCTCAAAACTCTGCCAGGAGCATTTTGGGGCAGAGGTTTGAGGGGGTCTCAGCAGTGATGCCAGGCCCAGAGGGGAGCCCCGCTTGTGCCTGCCTCCCGGCGTGGTGGCGGGGTGCTGGCCTTGCGGGGACGAGCAGAGGGGCTCAGCCCTGCAGGTGTTTGGGCTGCTTTGCTCCGTGCCATGCCACAGTGTCACCCTTCCTCCGCGCTGGGGCTGGCGTGGAGATGAGCTTGTTTGTGCCCCGCAGGGGCGGCCTGGCATGAACGGCCTCAAGGGCGAGAAGGGCGACCCTGCCGACGTCAGTGGCCTGCTGGGCCCGCGGGTGAGTGCGTCCTGCATCCGGAGAGCGAGGAAAGGGGACCGGGGGGGCTCGCCTGGGGCTGCAGTCCCTTCAGGGAAGGGCAAAAATGTGCACGGGGCAGCAGAAAGACCTGTCTCCCCAGGAGGGGAGTAAAGAGGTAAATGGCTCTTGATGCTGCCCGGTGTATTGCTTTCCTGGTGGGGTCAGAAGCAGGTGGCAGGAGGGAATAGTTGCATCTAAAACTCCAGAGAGCAGCCACTACACCCTCAGGGCACAGCAGTGACTTGTGGGTGTCCCCTCTGGGGCAAGGCTTGGCCCCGGCCTCCCCAGCGGGAACTGTCACCCTGTCCCATTTGCCAGAACCCTACAGCTTTTTTTCTTCTGCAGGGTCTCCCAGGTCCCCCTGGCCCTCCAGGACCTCCCGGGCCACCTGGCAGTGTTGTCTACGACAACAACAACGTAAGTAGCACCATAGTTGCCTCTTCTCTTAGATGTACGTCTGGATACTGGCTCATCCTGATCTCACCGTCTTGGCCAAGGGTTCCACACGGTGCCTACGAGCTCTGTTTCCCTAGTGTCGTGGGTGTCAAAGGCAGAAAGGGTGAAGGATGTCTCTGCCAGAGCCAGGTTGGGGGGTTGTTCCCAGCATTGTGCAAATGGGCTGCCCAGGCCTTTCCCCATGCCTCTCAGGAGCGGGCGGTGGGAGAGATGTGAGAGCGATGGGACAGCACTTGGCACTACAGGGGAGAACACAGAGGTCAGTGTATGAGGTGTCATCTGCCCAAAAGCTCACTCTTTGGGTGTCCTGGAGGATTTGAACCATAAGAGCAAATGGTGCCAGACTAGGTAGGTCCTATTGGTGGGTCGTTTGTGCCCCTTTGGCAGAGCATGGCCAGCTTGGCCAGGCCTGCTCCCTCCCCCATTGGGGGGGAAGGATGCGAGCTCTGGTTCGAAGGAGTTCTGTACGGGGAGACCTCTTAGAGAGCCCTGCAGAGAGGCGACTGTCTTTAAAACTGCCCTTCTTGCACATTTGCAGGCCTTCGGTGACACCAGCCATCCTGCGCTGCCGGCCTTCCCTGGTAAGGGGGGATGTCCATGTCCCAGCCCCATGGAACAAGCTGGGGACCCTCAACAAGAGTGGGAACTAGAAGTGGTCCCAGACAGAGTGCCCCTGCACCTGCAGGACTCTGCAGACAAGCAAGCCCAATGGAAACTGGGATTTTGCAGTGCCTTTCACAAATGCATCCCAATCTTGTGTGGCAAGACTGAACTGAGGGGGTTAGTTCCCGTCTGCAGAACTACCCCTGTGCAGTGGAAAGCACCATCATTTCAGTTCTGTGTCAAAAGCCTTGACAGCAGGCACCCCTGGGCACCATGTGTGGGCTGGCTCCTGAGTACAGAGATGCTCTGCTTTATCTGGGATGCTGCGGATCCAATAGAGCATCACCACTTCCATTTCTTTCAGGCTTCCACCAGTTTCCAGGACAAAAGGGAGAAAAAGGAGATGTTGGTGCTCCAGGTCCCCCAGGTGAGCAATTCTATCTCTGAAGGCTGAGAAGTATGTGTGGGAGGCATCTCATAGGAACATCAACACGTGTTCCACTGGCCCGTTTCTGAGCCATCACAAGGATCTTACTCTCGGGTGCTATGAGGACAGTCTGGCCAAGCAGCACATGCCCCTTTCCTGGGCTGGCTTTCAGCCTTCTGCATCCTTCTCATGACGGGGAAGAGCACGTGCGGTGGCTCCTAATTGTGCCCATGACTTTACTGGCTGGGAAGAGAGAGCCTCCATCCGGGAGCCCAAGTGCAAGGCAATGCCAGTGCGGTGGTGAGCACCAGCCACCGTAACTCCTCTCCTTGTCCCTCCACAGGCCAGTTCCCGTATGACCTGAGCCGATTCAGTGCCAACTTGCGGGTAAGCCCTTTGCCCCAAGCTACTGCAAGCGGTAGCTGGTGGGTGGGTGAGGTGGCCAGAGTACCTTGCTGGGTGCCTTGGTGTCCTGAGGCACCACTAGGACAGTGCGGGCATATGCCTGGAGCCCAGCTGGGATGCTCTGGTGTAGGAAGTGCAGATCGTGCTCATGTCATGCTATTCCACAGGGTGAGAAAGGGGAGACGGGCCTCAAGGGAGAGAAGGGTGAACCAGGCGGGACACCACTGTATGGCTCCAGCATCTCCGCGCTGCCAGGCCCACCGGGGCCCCAGGGTTACCCTGGCCTGCCGGTAAGTACCTTAGGAACACAGGTTGGATTGGGGATGTCTCCATGATCTGAGTGGTATAGAGTAGGCTGGGAAGGGCCTCATGGATGCTCTCTTTTTCTCCATAGGGTCCAAAGGGGGACAGTATTGTTGGACCACCAGGGCCTCCAGGACCTCAGGGACCTCCTGGCATTGGATATGAAGGGCGGCAGGGTCCTCCTGGCCCTCCTGGCCCCCCTGGTCCTCCCTCCTTCCCAGGCCCGCACAGGCAAGGTGAGTACCTGCCCAGACATTGTCCCATCTCCCCTCCTCTCCCTGTCCCATGCACCAAGCTGGGGCAACCATCTCTATTTTGGCCATCCCTTCCACCTTGGCCTTCCCTTCCACCTAGCTATCAGCATTCCTGGCCCTCCTGGCCCACCAGGACCCCCTGGCCCACCAGGTTCCAGCGGGACATCTCCTGGGGTGAGTTGAGGCAGCTGGGGAGGAGAGGAGGGTCATCCCTCTGCCTGCCCACCCCCATGTTTGTCCTCAGTGCAGAGCCCGGGGGACACTGGGGCCATGCCCCAGGTTGCTCCCCTTCTGGGCCTGCTGGCTGAGCCCTCAGCACCCACCTGCCCTGCGCCCACAGCTACATGCCCTGCCAACGTACCAGGCCATGCTGAGCGCTGCTCACGAGCTGCCCGAGGGCTGGCTTGTCTTCCTGGCTGACCGGCAGGAGCTCTACGTCCGCGTGCGCAATGGTTTCCGCAAGGTGCTGGTGAGTGCCAGGTGGGGTGGCCGCGTAGCCTGCTCCCCTGTTGGGCTTGGCGTACCTTACAGATGTCACCCAGCATCAGAGGGACCCAGTGACACCCCTGCTGCTGGGTACTTGGTTGCTTCATGGCAGCACTGTTTGTTGTGGGGTGCTGAGGTGCCTTCCCCTTGGTGTAAGCAAGAGGAGAGTGGTGGTTTTGCTCTGCTTTAATATGCCCTGTCCTTGCAGCTCGAGGAGCACACCCTGATCTCCAGCTCCGCTCTGGTGAGTCCCCTTCCCACCGACAGCGTGTGGGCAGGGGCCCCAAGCTGTGTGCCACAGCCCAGCTCTGGGCAGCCCCGGCCCTGAGCACAGCTCTCTCTCCTGTCCCAGGACAACGAAGTCTACGACAAGCCACCCAGCGTCCACTACTCTCACGGTGGTGCTGTCCCATCAGGGTCTCAGCACCCCTACCAGCCTCGTGGGCCTCTTCACCCTCTCCGCAACCACAGCCCGCCACCCACTGCCCGGCCCTGGCGAGGGGACGACATTGTGGCCAACCAGCACCGCCTTCCCGAGCAGCCCACGCTCCATCATGGCACCCAGCATCAGCAAGAGCTCCTGAACAGCTACTACATCAACCGCCGGCCAGATCCAGCCCCTGTAGCCGCCCACGTGCACCAGGACTTCCAGCCTGCCGTGAGTCCCCAGCGGGCCATGGAGATGTCCATGGTGGCCAGCCAGCTTCCCTCGTGGCCCGAGCGCTCCTTGGTTGCGGGCTGACTGCTGTGTCCCTTTGGCAGCTCCACCTGGTGGCCTTGAATGCCCCTCTGAGCGGCAGCATGCGCGGCATCCGCGGCGCCGACTTCCAGTGCTTCCAGCAAGCCCGCGAGGTCGGTCTCCTGGGCACCTTCCGCGCCTTCCTCTCCTCCCGCCTCCAGGACCTCTACAGCATCGTGCGCAGGGCTGACCGCAGCACGGTGCCCATCGTCAACCTCCGGGTAGGTGTCATCAGACAGGGAGTGCTGCTCTGCTGGCTGGCACAGCCTCAAGTGACGGTGCATGCTCATTCTCTGCTGGGAATAGTGGCATCTCGGAGGCATGCTACGGTGGGGGGAGCGGGGATGGTGGCCGGGCTGAGCCGCTCTCTTGCCCCCAGGACGAAGTGCTCTTCAGTAACTGGGAGGCCCTCTTTGCGGGCAGCGAGGCCCCGCTGCGGCCCGGCGCCCGCATCCTCTCCTTCGACGGCCGGGACGTCCTGCGGGACTCGGCGTGGTGAGTGCATGATGCCCGGGGCGGGCAGCCCCCACCGGGGCCTCT